CACAATATCAGCAGGCGGCCTGGAGAGGCCGACACAACAATACTCACATTAGCAGGCGACCTGGAGAGGCCGACACAACAATACTCAACATCAGCAGGTTGAAGAACCGGATCTCCACCTCACTATCGCAAGAGAAGCAATTAAGAGCCGAAATAATGGAGCATTTACTTGAAGATCGAAGGTCAGGTGTACAGTTCGTCAGCCTTGTTACCCAATAGAGTGTGCAATCAATGCTCAATTGCTTTAAAGGGTGAGGATACGAGCAAATACACCTATCCAAGGAAAACAACGTAGAAGCACCAAAGAGGTGAACAAAAGACCCGGACAAAATGTCTATGTCTTTACTTGCCTTTGGAAAAGCAACACATTACTATTCCAAAGGACAAGTAAAGAGGGGCAGCTGTAGACCGAGGAGATAACAGGAGAAACAATTATCGTACAGGCAGGGAGGAAGGCCGAAGAGAGAATCGAGAACGAGCACCCCCCAGGCACTGATCCCGTGAACGCAGCAGGTCTCAAGAAAGAAACACTCAACAGCGAGACCGAAACCAACCCAGGCGAGTTATAAACACCATTGCGGGAGGCTTCGCCGGAGGAGGGAGTTCTTCGTCGGCCCGGAAAAGACACCTAAGGGCAATCAAATCGGTTAACACCATAGGACGGGCAGCTGCCATTCGTATGCCCCCTATCACATTCAATGATCAAGATTTTCAAGGCGTCGACCCAGTGCAAGATGACCCCATGGTCATCAGTGTGGAAATTAATAACTGCATTGTAAGAAAAACTCTTGTCGATCAGGGAAGCTCGGCTGACATCTTATACTGGAAAACTTTCGAACAGCTCGGCATCCCCGAACAGGAATTGACGCCTTACGATAAATCGTTGGTGGGATTCTCCGGTGAACGAGTGGACACAAGGGGAACAATAGATCTGTACACCTATTTCGGAGACGACCAGCAGAGACGAAGGATAAAAATACGGTACGTTGTGGTGAGTGCTAACACGTCGTATAATATCCTCTTAGGTCGACCTTCCCTGAACAGGCTTAGAGCCATCGTCTCTACCCCTCACTTAGCAATGAAATTTCCGTCTGAAGAAGGCAAGATCATTACACTGCACGCCGATCAAAAGACAGCCCGCGAATGTTACCTGGCCAGTCTAAAGGTACAACCGACTCCGAAGACGACCCGACGCCGAGACGTCAATGTCATTGGAGATATTGGTCAATACAAAATGGGGGACTTAGAACTTGATCCCAGAATAGAGGACGAACATAGGGTTGAGCCGACGGAAACGACAGTCCCTTTCCAGCTCGGGAAGGTGAAGGACCAGGTCACATACCTAAGTTCCCAATTAACAGATGACGACGCGAAAAACATTAAACGAGTCTTGTTGATGTATTCAGATTTGTTCGCCTGGACAGCAGCCGATATGCCGGGCATCGACCCTAGCTTCCACTGCCACAGACTCTCGGTTTGCCAAGATGCCAAGCCTATCGCCCAGAAAAAGAGA